TCTTAAAATTTGCACATTTATTTCGCAAAAATACCTWAAATTTTGTTTTTCCACTTTTTAAAATAAACCAAAATTATGCCGTTTYGCATTTAAAACACTATTTTTCAAAATTCAACAATTTAAAGCACCTTCTTGCAACTTTGAATATTGGTRTTGTAATAAACATTACTATTTTTGTTTTTTTGTGTAGTTTTTTTTCTTGTTTGCTAGAAAAACTATATTGTCAAAACTAATAATAATAATTACTAAAAAGTACAGGGTGTTTCAGAACTCAGGCTTCGGAGAAMAATGTCAAGTAAGATAAGATACCAGAAACATGAAAAAAATTGTGCATTTTTACTTTATTTTTTTCTGTTGGATAAATAATTAAGCGTTATTTGTGGCTTTTTTGACAAAATTTTTGTATCTTTACCTACTATTATGAAAAAACATATACAAGATCATCGGTAATTTTAAATATCTAGACATAAAAAAGTCAAATATTTTTTTCGGGTTCCTGGTAGCTTATCTCACTTGGCATTTTTTTCTGGGACGCGAATTTTGGCGCACCCTGTATACATCTTTTAAATTTTATTATTAAAAGGACTTTACTAATTTGTTGTAACACCCTGTGTATTATTATCTAAGATATTATAAATTAAAAAAACATTTGATTTCTTGGATTTTATGACCTATTTTCCTATTATAATGTCCTATTTTATGTTTTACTGTACTGTCTTTTTTAGTACCAATTTTTATTGTCCTTTATTAATAAACCCATGACATATTTAAAATTGCTCTAATTGTTTACAAAAATTAATAAAACAAATTAATAAACAAAAAAAATTCTTAAAATCTGCACATTTTTTTCGCAAAAATACCTTAAATTTTGTTTTTCCACTTTTTAAAATAAACCAAAATTATGCCGTTTTGCATTTAAAACACAATTTTTCAAAATTCAACAATTTAAAGCACTTTCTTTTGCTTTGAATATTGTTGTTATCATAAACACTACTACTTTTGTTTCTTGTGTTGTTTTTTTCTTGTTTGCTAGAAAAACTATACAGAGTGCGCCAGAACTCGAACACCAGAGAAAATTTTCAAGTAAGGTAAGATAACAAGAACATGAAAAAAATGTTTATAAAATTCTATCTGTCAAAAAAATTTGACATTCATTTTTTAACATTTGACATTTTTTAATATCTATTTAAGGATACTGATGATCTTGTATATGTGTTTTTATAATTATTTAGTAAAGGGACAAAAAGTTTTGCCAATAAAAGCCACAAATAACATTGAACAGAGTTATAATTTAGGATACAGCTTCCTTGTTTCCTCTTTTAAGAGCCTATAGCAAAAAACTTGGAAAATTATTTTTCCAACAGAAATAAATAGAGTAAACCCTCAAATCTTCGAAATGTTTATAGATAATTTTTTTAAACATTTTTTCCATGTTCCTGATATCTTACCTTATATGGCATTTTTCTGGCGCACCCTGTATTGTCCAAACTAATAATAATAATTACTAAAAAGTACAGAATGTTTCAGAACTCGGGCTTCGGAGAAAAAAGTCAAGTAAGATAAGATACCAAGAACATGAAAAACATGTTGCATTTTTACTCTATTTTTTTCTGTTAGATAAATAATTTAGCGTTATTTGTGGCTTATTTGACAAAGTTTTTGTATCTTTTCCTACTATTATGAAAAAACATACAAGATCATCGGAAATATTAAATATCTAGACATAAAAAAGACAAATTTCAAAAATAAATGTCAAAATTGTTTGACAGATATAATTAATATTTTTTTCATGTTCCTGGTAGCTTATCTCACTTGGCATTTTTTTTCTGGGACGCGAATTCTGGCGCACCTTGTATACATCTTTTAAATTTTATTATTAAAAGGACTTTACTAATTTGTTGGGACACCCTGTAT